TTAAATGAAATTATTATTTTACTTACACCAAAGATTTTACTTTTTTTTTTTTTTGAACATAATTACAAGGGATGGGTTTCGAACCCAGTCCGGAAAAGGGGGAATGTACCAGGTGACTATTACCATTAAACCGCAATGACCAGGTGCAAAGATTTTACTCTTATTATTATTATTATTATTATTTTAAGTTTGCATAGTAGTGGGCTGTTTTTGGGTCACTCTGTGCTAATGTCAAAACCCCCCTTTTTATTTTTTTTAATGTAATTTTAACGCCGCATCACTCATAGTAGTTAGTATATCCAAGAGAAAAAGTTTTTTTGAATGATAATTAACTTAATTTATAAAATAATATTTGTTTTCTATTTTTCCAATCATTGGGCTTTGAGTGGAATTGTTTGATCTCAATTAGTAATTATCAATTATCTATATTAATTAATTAGCAAACGAATTCATATTAGATGGAAATCATTCTTTAGTCTTTCCAAAAAAAAAACAGAAATAAAAAATAACTAAAGAGTCCATTTCTCCTCATGCATGAAGCATGTAACATTTCTTCTCACTCAACTCAATTAGAATAGTAGTCTTGAAAACAGTACAAATACCATGGCCATTTAGCATAATTGGAGTGACAAAGAAATGGAATGTAAATATAGTAAATTAAAAACTATGATTCTGATTTTTTTCTGATAGAGATTTGGAGATAAGATGAACAATAAAGAATGCTTACTTGATAGAATATTCTTCTACAAGGATTTGCTGTCTCAGAATAACTAAACAAAAATTTCAGTTGAACCTATTTTGATTGAGTTAGGAGAAGAAGACTGTTGTGTTCATTATTATTATTATTATTATTTAATTTTAAAATACACTATATCAAACAACCTTTTTTATCTTATAAGTTTGGCAATTCACATATCATATAATTTAAGCCCCCAAACTTACCCCAAAATAACATTTAAGCTCTTAAACTAAAAACGAAACAGATAAGTCCCCTAACTCCACTAACAATACAAATAAATTATTTTCATAAAAGGACCAAATGGTATTTCATGTTTAATATCACCTTGAAAGCATGACTACCCATGAATAAAAATGATTTATTTACATCATTAGTAGAGTTAAAGGGCTTATCTGCTTCATTTTTAGTTTAGGAGCTTAAATGCAATTTTGGAATAAGTTTGAGGGTTTAAGGAGGGTTTTGCCGTAAAATTACTATTAATATGCTTAATTTATTAGTGTGTTTAACTTATTTGAAGGGGCAATATTTAACTTGTTTGTAGGGACAATTTAAATTATGAAACAAAATCTCATTCTTTATTCAATAGTTATAATAGCACAATTTGATATATTCAGGTGTAAGACTTTTTCATGTAAATATAATTAGTTGAAGGGATGCTGTTCAAAAAGAAAAGAAAACAAGTTGAAGGATAAGGCAAATAAATTGTGAAAGGGATCACATTTTTCTCAAACAATTAGGTAAGAAGAGTACAAGGAAATTTCCTTAGTCACAGGGAAAGAAAAGAACACTGATTTCGCCTGTCTCCATCGAACAGATAACACTTATGTTTGAATTTTAAGCAAACCAGGCAACCAATGGTCTTCATTCTTAGGTAATCCACTTAAGATTTCCCCACCATTTTTTGGGTCAATTAAGAAAACCTTGACCATCAAACACTTCATATTTTGGGCAAACTTAGGTTTAGTACCCGTTTGGTATAGCGGTTTTTGGGTAGCAGTTAGCAATTTTACCCAAATCGCTAAATATAAGTGTTTGATAAATTTATATATTTTGAAATCGCTACAAATAAAATGTTTGGTAAAATTTTTATTTAGTGGTTTGAGATTAACGGAAGCGGTTAGGGTCCGAACTGCTAACTGATTGAAAAAGCTAATTTATGTAGTTTTTGTTACCAAATTGCTAGCGAATTAAAATTTTTTTAATTTGTGGTTACATTTTTTAATTAATAATTTCTAATAAATTTCAATTTTGTTTACTTTTAATAACGTTAAGTGATTATAGTATTTGTACATTAATTTATAATTAAAAAATATATTATCTTAAAAAACAAAAGTTGTTAATTAGA